AGGACCTGGTTTCCTTTAGCTCTAATGGCCGTCCTTCCCCCAGCAGCGAAGTCCGGGATGCAGAGACCTCACATCTGCCCAGCAAGGTAAGAGGGAGCTGTGAATATGGGGAAGAGCATCCCATGCCGATGCCCCGGCTTGCAGGGACTCTGCAAGGCTCCGGGGCCAGGGTGGGCACTGGGTGAGCAGCAGCTGCCTCCACGTGGTCCTGGCACGCTCCGCACCACGGCGTGGGCCCACCTGTGCAGCCGTGGCACCGCGTCCCTGCTTGAACCTGCCATTAAGGTTATTTTTGCAAGATTTTTCTTGTGACAGCGTTCACCATTTGTGTGCACTCCTGCAGCAAAGCAGCAAGGAGGACAACGAGATCCACTATGCCGATCTCCAGCCCCTGCCCACGGCCCCACGGCACGGCAGGAGCCCCGGCGCAGCCTGCTCCGAGTACGCCAGCGTCAGAGTAGCTGCCAAGTGATACGTGGCACCGCAGCCTGCAAGGTCGAAGAGCCCGTTTTGGGGGAGGAAGCAGGGACATTTCTGCGGGGCACAATGACGAAGTGGATCTGTTTGCGTGGCACACCCCGGTCCAAGCTCGGCACGCCGTGCTCGGAGCTGGCAAAGCTCCCTCAATTCATTCCCGTCTCAGCAGTGGTGCTGGGTGAGGTGCCCCGGCCATGCCGGGCGTTGGCAGCCGCTCTCCCAGGACCCAGCAGCCATCTCAGACACAGGATCAGGCCACGAGGCTGAGCGGCTCTGCCTTCTGCAAGCTGTTCGGTGCCGATTACGCCAGGAGGACTTCACACACGCCCGTCTCCACCAGCATGGGCCACCACCAGCACTTTCCCGGCTCAGCAGGTCCATAATTTGTCTTGTCACCGCACCAAGCCCATCCTCATTAAAGCCAGCAAACAGCCGTGCCGTCCGGTCCCGCTGTGTTCAGAGCAAGAGCTGTAGTGCCGGTCCTGTGGGGTCCTGGGAGACGCGTGCCCCCCGCAGCCCCACGCCAGCTCACCCCCTGCTGCTGCCGGGCTCTTGCTGAGCCCCACGGGCAGCTCCCACCTCCCACCCTGCCCCTAGGCACCCCCCGGGCAGGGCGGCCGCCTGGCTCCCACCAAACCTGCATCTTCAGACCACGCATGGAGCAGCTCTTTGGGAACAGCCCTCGGTGCCACTTTACTGCAGCTCCTGGGCTGAGGACCAGCCCTTGCCCGGCTTTCCCTGCCCTCCCGAAGGAGCCAGCATTTGGGAACGAGGCTCCTGATGCTGCGTTAAAATCAGGGCAGCTGGCACCAGCCAGCCCTTCCACCCCTTCTCCCCGATCCATGCACATCTCCTGCTCCAGCCCCAGCCAGCCCATGCACATCTGCTCCATGCACATCCCCTACTCTGTGCAAGTCTCCTGCTCTGTGCACATCTGCTCTGTGCACATCTGCTCCGTGCACATTGCTCCATGCACATCTGCTCCATGCACATCTGCTCCGTGCCCGTGTGCTCAGCTTGCACAGCTGCTCCATGCCCATCTGCTCTGTGCACATCTACTGCTCCATGCACATCTGCTCCATGCACATCTGCTGCTCCATGCACATCTGCTCCATGCACATCTGCTCTGTGCACATCTCCTGCTGCCTGCACATCTGCTCCATGCACATCCCCTGCTCCGTGCACATCTGCTCCATGCACATCTGCTCCGTGCCCGTGTGCTCAGTGCCCCCCTCGGAGGGGAGCAGGCCGGTGGCCGAGGATGGAGCGTGGCGGTGGCAGGAGGCCATGGAGTGCACGCTCCACACCGGACACCGCTGCAGCACCAGGCACGTCCCGGCACAACGCGCACACGGTCCCACCGGTGGCGGCAGGCGCTCCCACCGCACC